GTATTTTGCACTAAAACCGAATTTTCATATTTTGATTTGGTGGGAATTTGATTTTCTAGTATTTTTATTTGAATCCAAATGGGGGGTACTTCCTTATTTACATTGTAAACTTAAGTAAATGGAGTAATATAAAAATAAATAAAAGTAAAAAGACAAAGACATTTACTTAAATGTTGAAAATGGAAATAAGGTAATCTGTACACCAGTTGAGCAAAGGGGCAATTTGAAGCACCTACAATGGTTTTTCTGGCGAGGGGAGGTGCAACTGCACCTCCTTGCTCCTTAATAGATCCAGTACATAAAATCTGTCTGCAATTTCTGAGCAATAAGTTTTATGAGAAACTTCATGCAAAGATAAAATCTGTTGTATGGGATCTTAGGTTGAAACAGAGGTTCTCCTATCGTCCCATACAAAACAAAATAAAATAGAAATTTCATGAAACAGAATTAATACCAAAAATTCCAGATACAAGTGAGAAGGCATTTTCACCTCCTGCCAAACCCACGTACACTGTAATACCTTTGTGGTCGTCAAAGATGCACCAGTTCATTGTCCACAGATGCAAATTAATTTCACAGTGATTCTTTTATCAACGGCAACAAAGCAGGATCCACTTCATCTTTCGACAGTAATTGAACTAACAACTCCATTGTTGATGCATCTTCAGATAAACCCTTCTCCACCATTTGTTGAATAAGTACCATCGCCCTTGATGTCTCTTTGTTACTGATAAGCCCTCTGATAATTGTGTTATATGTGCAACCATTTGGAGAACAGCCTTTCCCTTCCATTTCAACCAGCAACTTTTCCGCTTCACTTGTTAGGTCCCTGATACAGAGTCCATTAATCATTATAGTGTATGTCCTCACATTAGGTTCAAGTCCTTTTGATGATAAACCACAAAAGAGATCCCTTGCAGTTTCAATTTTTCCAGCTCTGCACAAACCTTTAATAAGAATACTGTAAATCACAATATCAATATCCAACTTCTTTGCTCCCATCTCTCCAAACAATTGCATTGCCCTAGAAAGTTGTCGGTTTTTACACAGGCCACCCAGTAAAATAGAATAAGTTCGAGCATTAGGAAGTTGGCCACAAGCTTGCATCTCGTAGAACAACTTTTGAGCATTCTGTACTCTACCAGCTTTGCAAAAACTATCCAGAAGAGTGTTATAAGTTACGGTATTTGGAACTAGTCCCTTATGAGACATATCCAGAAAAAGCATCATGGCCTCATCTATTTTTTCAAGCTTACAATATCCATTTATCAATGTGTTGTAACTAACAACATTAACCATCGAGCCCTTGCTAAGCATTAGTTCAAAAACATTTTGTGCCTTGCTTATTTCTCCTCGCAACCAGTAACCATCCATTAGTGAATTGTACGTAACCGAATCAGGATCAATATCTCTTTGAATCATCATCTCAACCACGCCTTCTGCTTCCACGACCATTCCCTCCTTACAAAGTGCATCTACCAAGATGTTGAACGTTAACACATTTGGAAAGATATTATGTGCTATATTACATAGAGGTTGTTATCCGTTATGAAATAACTCTTTTATGTTTATTTGCTCACTAAGTTATATTCAATTCAACATGAAATTAGTCATTCTGTGTAGACTAGATTGAAACCCAAAACATTTTGAAAACTAAAAATGTTTGGAATCTTGAGATACATTGCATTAAAATTCCTTGAAAAAGAAAAGCAAACTTTGCTGAAAAAAAGATGGCCAACAAACACCATTTGTAGCCCGAACTTTTGGTTTGATTGGATAGATAGTTTCAAAATATTATATTAAAAGATTGTCTTTTTTAGGCAAAGAAATTCTATTCAATTTGTTATTTAGTGAATAGTTTTTCAGACTCTGATTCTCTTTCGTTTCTTTGCAACATAAATTGATAGAGTAGGAAACACATTGCCCTACGTTTATGTACCATTTGGGCTTCTCCTTCTCTTTTCACACCCTCCACATTGCCATCCAAATTCCGTAAGGGTGGCCTTTCAGCCAATTGTTATGACCATTATACCAAATTACATTATTTAATCAACTTTCCTCAAAAGGGTGGCCTGCAAAATTGAGTTCATTAATTCAACTTCTGTCCGAAATGAAAGCAATGTGAAATCAAAAGGAGAACTACCCGATCCTTTTGTTTCGTTTATAAAAACTACTGTATGAATGTGTAATTGTAATAATTTGAGGCTGAGGGAAGGTCCCATTAAGACCCACACCATCTCTTTGAATTTGAGACTATTTGATGTGAAGAGAGAATGTGATCCTCCAATATTGTTCCTGCTACTTGGACTCTATGCAGCTCCAGCTAGATATAGCAACAAACAAGTCTTCTTCCTCCTCCTAAAAAATGATGTACTTGAGACTTGACTTGATCGGTCGTTTTACCTTCTTGGCCTAAGAAAATTAAGTTCCTTACCCACCAAGCACAAGTAAGATGGTGATTCGAAGAAATGCTACATCAATACAACTAATTTGATTTAAATTTGATTAGGGAAATCAATGGGATTTTGTTATATTATCAAGTACATCACCAACTTTAAGGAGTGTGACATTATGCTGGCTTGTTTAAAACTCGAATTATCACCATGTGAGATGGACGATTCAAAATTTTATAGGACAATGATGGGAAAAATTATCTGAGATGAACGATCCAAAACCACTATCACAATCATTCAGAACCATGTGGATCTCATCTGTTCTTTCACCTGAAATAGACAACCTTTACTTCCCAGTGAAGCACAAAAGTATGAAATAATAACCAGCTTTTGGTTGGGGAGCAAATGGGCTCCTATTAATTGGATATTGGAGAGTATGTACATATTAAAGAGCAGCCTTTTCATGTGAAAGTTACAACGCATGCGCCAATTTAAGGCAACAGACTTCACTGATAACTTAAGCAAGTAGATTGCTAATCCAAATACATTTCAAACAGCCAACATAACAATAACAACATCCTTAACCAAAAATACTGTAATACCTTTATGGTCATCAAAGATGCACCAGTTCATTGTCCACAGATGCAAATTAATTTCACAGTGATTCTTTTATCAACGGCAACAAAGCAGGATCCACTTCATCTTTCGACAGTAATTGAACTATCAACTCCATTGTTGATGCATCTGCAGATAAACCCTTCTCCACCATTTGTTGAATAAGTACCATCGCCCTTGATGTCTCTTTGTTACTGATAAGCCCTCTGATAATTGTGTTATATGTGCAAACATTTGGAGAACAGCCTTTCCCTTCCATTTCAACTAGCAATTTTTCCGCTTCACTTGTTAGGCCCCCGATACAGAGTCCATTAATCATTATAGAGTATGTCCTCACATCAGGTTGAAGTCGTCAACAGATGCATATTAACTTCACAGTGATTCTTTTATCAACAGCAACAAAGCAGGATCGACTTTATCTCTCGACAGTAATTGAACTATCAACTCCGTTGTTGATGCATCTGCAGAGAAACCATTCCCCACCATTTGTTGAATAAGTACCATCGCCCTTGATGTCTCTTTGTTACTGATAAGCCCTCTGATAATTGTGTTATATGTGCAACCATCTGGAGAACATCCTTTCCCTTCCATTTCAACCAGCAACTTTTCTGCTTCACTTGTTAGGCCCGCGACACAGAGTCCATTAATCATTATAGTGTATGTCCTCACATCAGGTCGAAGTCCTTTTGATGATAAACCACAAAAGAGATTCCTTGCAGATTCAAGTTTTCCAGCTATGCACAAACCTTCAATGAGAATACTGTAAATCACAATATCAATATCCAACTTCTTCGCTTCCATCTCTCCAAACAATTGCATTGCCCTAGAAAGTTGTCGGTTTTTACACAGGCCATCCAGTAAAATAGAAAAAGTTTGAACATCTGGAAGCTGGCCACAAGCTTGCATCTCGGAGAACAACTTTTGTGCATCATTTATTCTACCCACTTTGCAAAAACCGTCCACAAGACTGGAATAAGTAATGGTATCTGCAACCAGTCCCTTATGAGACATATCCAGAAAAAGCATCATGGCCTCGTCAATCTTTTTATGCTTACAATATCCACTTATCAATGTGCTGTAACAAACAACATCAAACATCGAGCCCTTGCTAAGCATTAGTTCAAAAACCTTTTGTGCCTTGCCTATTTCTCCTCGCAAACAGTAACCATCCATAAGTGAAGTGTATGTAAACCTATCAGGTTCAATATCTCTTTCAATCATCATTTCGACCACGCCTTCTGCTTCCCCAACCATACCCTCCTTACAAAGGGTGTCTACCAAGATATTGAACGTGCACACATTTGGAAAGATATTTTTACTCACCATGTCATTCAACAACCTTGTAGCTTCTTTCCACTTGCCTAATTTGCAAACTCCATTCATCAAAGAGTTATAGGTAATGACATTTGGGGCAATACCCTTGCACATCATTTCAGAGAAGAGGTTTAATGCATCATCAACTAGTGTATCCTTACAAAGACTGTCGATGATTGTGTTATAGACAACTAGGTCAGGCTTGCAAGCTCCTTCCTCCATCTTCCTAAGCAACTGAATAGCAGCAATATTGTTACCTTTCATGCAAAAGCCCTTTACTAGTGTGCCATAAGTAACCACATTAGGCTGACAATTACCTCCCCTCATCATCTTGTGGAGAAGGGTTGCCGCCTCCGCCACTCTATTCTCGCGAAGAAAGCCGTTGATTAGAGTGTTGAAGGTAGAGACATTTGGTTCAAGACCAAGTTTGAAGAAATTTCCCAATACGGATAAACTAAACCCCATTTGGTTTAGATGACAATAACAATTTATGAGAATGTTTAGAGTACAAACATTAGGTCCAATTCCCGACACACCCATTTGGTTATACAAGGAGATGATGGAAGAATAATGTTTCAATTTCGCAACTTGACCCAATATTTGATTGAAACGGACAACTGAAGGCGGAGGACGCATTTGAAGCATTCTATCATACACATTGAAAGCATCCTCAACAGTTGTGATTTTGGGTGAGTTTCTTACTGGCTGCTCTAGTTGGGTTCTTGTAGATTTGATTGGTTTAGAAGGTTGCGAGTGAAGGAAAGCAAAGTAATCGTTGGCGAAAACAACAAGAGCGGAGTTAGAGTGAAGACAAGGCATACCTCTCCATCTCCTGCTGGTGCAATAAGAAGACGACGAAGAAGCAGCTATATTCCGCATCATCATCTTCAGCATCTCTCGAATAATAGCACTGAGTAAGAAAATATGCAAACCTAGCCTTCATTCAAAGGCGCTTTTTGAGATTTCTACTTGTTGGAGTGTGCACGGCCTCAGATCCTCTTCTACTTTTTTATTTTATTTTTTTGGACAAACAGGTCCTCTTCTACTTACTAGAGTACATTTTGATCCGTTTATCACTTCTTCATCATTATAGTTTCAGTTTTGTCAATTGTGCCCCTTTAGTTTCATTCAACCACAAGTCACGAATTTTGTCAATTTCTTTCAAGACGTCATGGGTATTTTCTTCCATTTCTTGTTAAAAAAATATTAGAAACTTAAAAGTAATTTTTTTTAATTGCAAACAGGAAACATACAATTGATTTGTTATTGAAATGAAATTCCCAAGTATGGGTGTACATCGATTCGAAATCAATGAATTTTTATCAATCCAATCCAATCCAATTTTTCTTGGCCTCATCAATCTTTTTATGCTTACAATATCCATTTATCAATTATGTTTTTCCCAAATGAGGGGAAGAGAATTAGGTTTGTCCCAATTAGGGTTTTTATCCTCATCTCCAAATATGGAGACCTAAAACTGTAAACAATGGTGAACCAAAATTGGGAAAGAAAGAGAAACAAAAGAAATAGTAGATACAATTGAGAGGTATTGATATGACATGCCCAAGCAACATCACTAGAGGCAAGCAATTGTAAAGAACAAGTGATGTGTAATCCAAACTCGTAAGTTACTCTCCATTTGGAAGAAGGAATTGAAAATTATACAGAATTCTAAAATGACGGAATTTAAATTTCCATCATTTTAATTTATAGCAATTGAAGATTTCAGTATTTAGATTTATATATGCCGAATTTTATAAAGTGGTTATATTTCTAACTATAGGCTCCAAACCCCATGTCTTTGAATTTGGCGTTCCAAAAAAGCCTTTTTTTTCTTCCATCAAAGCCATCCCATTATAATATTGACTTGTATACAACATAGTATTTTAATACGACAAGCACAATTCAAGAAAGAAAAAAAATTTCACATGTTGGTTTAGAATCTGAAACACGAAAAAAAAAATTCACTCTTTTATTACCAAGAAAAAGACTTGGTTAATTCTTTTATTTTGTTTTATAATTGCATAGAAGATAATATTTTATTTGATAAAAATAAATAATATTATCACAATGAATCTCGAGCCTTTACATTTAGAACCTAAGCAGTTTTGTTTACATAACTTTTTGTTAGCAATGATAACATCTTTATGCAATACAAATAAGTATGCAACTGAATTAGCCCAACCCCAAGAATTCTATGGGGAGAATTCTATAGTGCCCTCCCCATAGAATTCTTCTTCAATCCAAAGCATTGATAATATCGAAATTGCAGAAGAAGTAGGCCCAGACCAGGTCAAAGTTTAAGTTGGAATATTGGGCCCTCAAATAGAAAAAAAATCTCAAACTTTCAACATGCGGCACTGGACAACTGGGCAGTAGAATTTTCTTGACCCAAGAAGAAAGCAAGAAGAAGGAAATAGAAAAAATTGACCACTTACTGGCTGACTGACTTTTATAGATAACAAACAGAAACCTTTGTTTTTGGCTTTGGCTTTTCCACATTCAAATTTGAAAGTTGAAAAGTTTGAAACAACAAAAAGCGTTTAGTGTGGTGGCTGTCAGAGACAGGCCTGTGGTGCCAAATGGTCCCTCCATAGCTTTCCCTCACCAATATTCAGGGAGGTCACTCCTCCCCCAGCTTTTCTAAATTTATAGGCTCTCTCTCTCTCTCTTCTCCTCTTATCTTCTCTGTGTGTGTCAGTTTGAGAAACTGAGCAAGACTTTCTTTTTTTCTTGTTTTTGTTCCTGTATCTCTCTCATAGAAGTTTGACAAACAGAAGGAAAGAGATGGAGAGTGAGGATAAGGTGAAGAGAGAAGGTCTTCCTTTGTACGGAGGCAAGTACATACAGTATAACATTCTGGGTAACCTCTTTGAAGTCTCCGCCAAATATGTTCCTCCTATTCACCCTGTCGGTCGCGGTGCATACGGCATCGTTTGGTATCTCTCTCTCCCTCCCTGTTATTTATTTTTTATTAAAAAATTCTGAACTTTTTGCTTTCTCTTTCAGTATCAGTGTGTTTTTTTTTTTTTGCTTTTTGTGGGCTTAGAAATGGTATATCTGTTAGGATTCTGGTAAAAGCTGAGTTGGACTTTCACCATGGAATTGAAAAGTTGACTTCAAAATTGAATTGGGTAGGCTTTAGCTTAGTGGGGTTTTGTTTTTCTTGGGTTCCAAAATCTGAGATTCAAATCCAATGAGCCACTACTTCATTTTATTCAATTCTGTCTTTATTGTTTTGACTTTGGTTTGGTGCTTTTGTATTTGAATTGGAAAGCGAGGCTTCTTGCTCATACAACTATCAGGAACTGTTCAAAAAACTTGTGGAGATAGATAGCTCTTTCAAATATTCTTACTGCACTCATTTGATAAATTTGGGAGATTTCTTGGTGAATATGTGGAAATATGTATCTTGATTTTTACTTAATGTACTCGTGAGGCCAAAAAAGAAAAGTAGTGGTGGTTAACATTTTCTGATGGCAGCTGTGCAACAAACTCTGAGACAAAAGAAGAGGTTGCAATCAAGAAGATTGGGAATGCATTTGACAATAGGATCGATGCCAAGAGGACCCTTCGAGAGATCAAGCTTCTTTGCCATATGGATCATGACAATGTAAACCTTTTGCATTCAAATCCCATATCCTCTGCTGTTACTTCCTTTAGCAAATTTGGAAATATCCAAATATGGATAAATGCTTGTTTTTTAAATGTTTGGTCAATGCTATTCATAAGCATACCATAAACTGAAAATCTTATTATAGGGAGTTTTGTTGTTAAGGCTAGTTACACTCGTTTCTTAACTTGTTTTACTGTGAATAATAATGGTATCATTATTTTGCAGATTGTCAAAATTAAGGACATCATAAGGCCAGCAGAGAGGGAAAAGTTCAATGATGTTTACATTGTATATGAACTAATGGATACTGACTTGAATCAGATAATACACTCCAGCCAGGCTTTGACAGATGATCACTGTCAGGTAAGTAGAGCGTCGATATATTCTGGACATTTTTTAGTAGGGATGTGAGAACTAGTTATAGAATAAGGTGAAGCTATTAAGTTTATGATGTCGATGAATCAAGTTCTTCATTGTTCAACAACAGCTCCTTGTCTCTTTGAACAAGAAAATTAAAAGTGACTGCTGCTGCTTAATTACGATTGACATTCTTTACATTTCCAATCAAGATACACATAGGTTTAGTGAATGAGGGGAAACAATCTAACTTGTAGGGCACTGTGTAGGTTAGTGTAACATAGAAGTGTGATATGTTTGATTAGGACCACCTCCGGGCCATTATGTATACCAATTTTTCCCCTTAAATTTGCAAAGGCTATTATGTAATGCGTCAAGCCATTCAATGATTAGTTACTTTGTATTGAACATCTGGTTCGTACTTGCTTCTTTTGTTTACTGCTATTTATAAAGTTGTTGCTTCTGTTACTAATCTCTCCTTCCTATGTGTTAGTCATGTTGTATTAGCAACATACATGCTCTGATTGCAGTATGAATATGCAACCCTATAAATTCTTTGAGATTGAAACTTAGATCACTTATCTTAAGTGACACGTAATGTTTTTGGCAGTACTTCCTGTATCAATTGCTGCGGGGATTGAAGTACATACACTCTGCAAATGTTTTGCACCGCGATCTGAAACCAAGCAACCTGCTTCTCAATGCAAATTGTGACCTTAAGATTTGTGACTTTGGGCTCGCTAGAACTACATCAGAGACGGATTTCATGACAGAATATGTTGTAACTCGTTGGTATCGAGCCCCTGAGTTACTGCTCAACTGTTCAGAATACACTGCAGCCATTGATATTTGGTCAGTAGGTTGCATTTTCATGGAGATTATTAGGAGGGAACCACTATTTCCCGGTAAAGACTATGTTCAACAGCTGAGTCTCATAACTGAGGTACTCATTTTCTCTGTAATTCTCTTGCAGTTCTTGAACTTAATAGATGTGATTTAGTGTCAGTTGAGTGTTGTTACATTGTGGACATCCTTTTAGAAGGGACGTCACAACTAGTTACCAATTTGAAACTTGATACTATTAATTTACGATATTGATGAATCAAGTTTGTGATTGTTCAAAAACAGCTACTAGGTTCACCAGATGATTCAGATCTTGGATTTTTAAGAAGTGATAATGCTAGGAAGTATGTTAAGCAGCTCCCACATGTCCCAAAGCAACCCTTTGTGCAGAAGTTCCCAAACGTCTCGCCACTGGCAATTGATCTTGCAGAAAAAATGCTAGTTTTTGATCCAAGCAAGCGTATAACTGGTAAGTCTCTTAGCATTTGGTAATGATTAATCTTCAATTTTCTCACTAATTTTCGAAATACTAATATCTACCGTCTCATTTGTCATATATAAAAAGTTGAGGAGGCACTGAATCATCCATTTTTATCAAGTCTTCATGAGATCAATGAGGAGCCCGTTTGCCCATCTCCTTTTGTCTTTGATTTCGAGCAGGCAACCCTGGATGAAGAAGATATAAAGGAGCTCGTATGGAGGGAGTCTCTACACTTCAACCTGGATGATATGTTGGGATAATTTTTGTCAGCAGCGATCAAATTTCTGTTTCTGTTTTTTTTTTTCACTGCTACCACTGGCATCATGTTTAAAGGATGCTTTTGGTTTCGAAAGGTTGGTAATTATCATATGGCGTTCTCCGGCGTGTTGAGTGGATGAAATGGCAGCTTCATAACAAGAGTGGTAGTGTTGGTGTGTATAAAAAGAAGGCTTTGTTCTCCTGGCCTTGTTTGGATTTTGATGTGTTTTGTATATTGTAAATCCAATATGATTCAAAACCAAATAAAAATAAGAATATTACCGGGAAAAAAGCTCAAAGTGATTATTCTCCTCTGCATGTTGTGTTGAACTTCTTATGAACACCTTGAGAACATTCATGATAGTGCAGAAGATGAGCAATATCATGGTATGGAGGGATGAGAGTGTAGAGATTTTAGGTTCAAACTTAAAAATCTAATTTCCACACCACTTGCGAAGTCCTCTAAAATCTCATTTTAACAAAAGAGTAAAGATTTTCTGTTTAATAGTTGTCGTTTGCGAAATTTGGACTTAAAAATCTTCTAAAATATCATTGAACTATTGATCATTTTAAATAAGACGGTAGATATTAGTATTTCGAATAGTAAATTATTCTAATCTTCTTTATATGATTTAGCCTGAATTATAACCGGTCCAGTAGAATTGTTTTTAAAAAATAATTCGATCCAATAATAAACCGAAAAACGATTCTATTAAACCAGTTATAATTCGGGCTAAATTATAAGAAGAAGATTGATATAATTTACTATTTACACCCAAATCAAACCAAACTAAACCAAACAGTGCCACCCTTTCAATTTCTCCAGGTTTTCTCGTTCAGGGCATCAAGTTAGTTAACTTAACCCGCGGGTGGCCTAAATCAAGTTCAGCCTCGCTTGTTTTCTCAGAGCTTCCGAATACTGAGAAAGGCGGGTCATCCTAAATCTGTTGAAACTAACTAGATTATCGAGAGGTTTTGTGAACACTGGGTATATTGCACTGAAAACTCAGAAGCATCCTTATTGAATTGAAAGACAATAACTGACTATTAAATAGCCTTACAATAACAGGAAAGTGAAATAACACCCCACGACTACATCAACCTAGAGTCGTGGTAATTTACTAACTCAAAACAAGATAACAAACTTGTCCCTCAAGTATAGGAGGGTTATTAGCACGTTCAGGGAATAAGCCCCTAAAACAAAGGAACCTTATCAACTAGGATCTTTGACAACTTCAACATCCTCCCTTAAACTGAATACTAAAGATTCAGTTTATTCCAGGCCATTTACGTACACCCATCAAGTCTCGCAGCTTCTGAAAAACTTCAAGTTTCAGTGGCTTCGTCATTACATCTGCAATCTGCTCCTGAGTAGAACACTGCAGCAGCTCCACTACTTCATCTTTAACAAGATTTCGAAGAAAATGAAACCTTACATCTATATGCTTACTACGACCGTGCATTACTGGATTCTTTGAAAGCTTAATGGTTGAGACGTTATCACAATAAACCACTGTTGGACCAGTTTGCCTCAAATTCAAGCAACTCAAAATTCTTCTTAACCACACCACTTGACACGTACTTGAAGCAGCAGCAATGAATTCTGCTTCAGTAGTAGAGAGAGTGACCACTGGTTGCTTCTTCGATGACCATGATACTGCTCCTGAATTCATCATAAATACATAGCCTGAAGTACTCTTTCTGTCATCTTGATCACCAGCGTAGTCACTATCCGTATAGCCAATGAGCTCTCCATCTCCTCCCTTCTTGTAGAACACCCCGAAATCAATAGTTCCCTTCACGTATCTTAAAATTCTTTTAGCTGCCAACAAATGAGTCTCAGTAGGATGCTCCATATACCTGCTGATTAGGCTTACAGTGTACATAAGATCAGGTCGTGTAGCTGTTAAGTACATAAGACTCCCAACCATTTGCTTATAGAGCGTGCTGTCTACTTTGGCTCCCTCTTCATCACGAGTGAGTTTGAAACCAGGAACCATAGGGTTATGCACTGAGTTACACTGACCCATGTTGAACCTGTCTAACACTTCTTGTGCATACTTACGTTGACACATAAATATACCATCTGGTTTCTGTATTACTTCAATGCCAAGAAAGTATCTCATATTTCCGAGATCAGTCATATCAAATTCTAGCATCATGGATCTCTTAAATTCCTCAAACATCACCTCATCATTCCCAGTGAATATGAGATCATCAACATATAGGCATACAATCAAAATTTTACCTGCTTTGGCTGTCTTGATAAACAATGTGTGCTCAAAGGGACATTTGCTGAAGCCCTCCTTGACAAAATATGCCTCTATTCGACTGTACCATGCTCGTGGAGCCTGCTTGAGCCCGTATAGTGCCTTCTTGAGACGATAAACCTTGCCTTCGCTTCCTTTCTGTACATATCCAAGTGGTTGCTCAACGAAAACTTCTTCATTGATCTCTCCATGCAAGAAAGCTGCTTTGACGTCGAGTTGATAAATCTTCCAACTTCTTTGTGCAGCAATAGAAATAACTACTCGAATTGTATCCATTCGTGCCACTGGTGCAAATACTTCAGAATAATCCACTCCATATTGTTGGCAATATCCCTTCGCGACGAGCCGAGCCTTATACTTGTCCACATTTTGATTATTGCTCCACACGAGATCTGGACTTGCTTGGAATATACGATCAATAAACTCGAAAACCCCTAGCTCGACAGCTTGGAAAATGGCTCCACCACATAAATCTTCCATGTCTATACCATCCAAATGTTTTATCACTTCACACATGTGATCTAGAAGTCCAAGGGATTGAGAATGGATCAATTTTATTTCACGTATGCGGTTGATTCCTAGGTTATCATTGAAAAAAAAAAAAAAAACACAAAAACACAAAAACAAAAGTCATTTAAATCCTTCAAGAAAAATTGAATTTTAAAACCATTGATGGAGAAAAGAAAAACGACAAGTGGTAAAGAATGTAGCATACCCAATAGTTCAAGGAGATTCGTGATCAGACCTTGCAATATACGTAGCACTGCAATAGAAGTTCAAAATCCAAAATATGATGGAGAAATATATGCCATAACAAAATGTAAAAAACGAAAGAAAAATTACATATTTTGTTTGAACATTAGCTCACATGAAAAGTTCCCTAATAGGTGCAAGGAATATTTTCATACAGAAACGGATGAGAATATGAGTAGGATCGACTATGAACCAAATATCCAATAATTTAAGAATATTGTGAGAGCATCTCCAAGATCTACACAATTTTTTTTACCTGTACTGGAGCAACATGGCGGTTACCATCATTCCTTTGTTTTTGTTTTTGGGAAAAGCGATATAGTTTATTGATGATGGAGGTAACAAGTACAAAAAAATTGATTGGTCCTTGGCAGATTAGGCAAGCCTCTCTACACATAAGGGTTCGGTCGTTGGATTAACCAAGTAGCCTATATTCTCTTTCGGCATAGACATCAGAGAGAACCTTAATGTCCAAGGGAGATGATCCCTTTTTATTTGCTCTCTTTGCTATGAGCCCCCAAATAAGCTAGCTGGCCTGTGGGCATGTAGGATTTGAACTTTCTTTTTTAACAAATTGACGTACCCAAGTAAATCTAGTGGAGCATAATGTGCCACCCAACCCATCTGTTATGCTCAAATTTTAATTTAAGTAATAGAAATTAGTGTACTATGTAATTTAAACCTAAGAAAATAATATATACTATGTCGATTTGTATCACGACTTGTAAATTTTTGGATCTGCCACAGAAAGTGATACAGAGAATGTAACCCCTGTTTTTCAGGAACACATCAACTGATATGCGTCTAGCGCTTCAAGCGGAAGCTAGTTTTCATCAAAAAAATTCAACTTGTAACCCCTATTTGACATGGTTGATTTTTGTAGGGTCAGAACAACCTTTTTTGGACTTCAATTTTACAATAATTTTAAAAGTTTTAGAACCTAAAGTCTAAGCAATGAATGGTCGACCATCAAGATTTTTCCCTGCCGGCAGCTGCATCTGTTGTGCAAGATGGAAGAAAGTCTTGCTGGGAGCTGGATACTATGGACAATACTCCGCTCCTCATATATACAAGGAGGAAGTCCTCCCTAAATGTAATGTGTGGCCTTGAATATTTTGTGGTACTTAGAAATTAGTTTATAAAAGCCTTAAAGTCGGCTGACTTCTTTCTTCCTCCTTTGAATGGCACTGCTTGTATTTTTTATTTTTTATTTTTTTGAGAAAGATAATTCATTCATATAACCAAAAGCGTACACAGAGTGACATAATATAGTAGTCTCTTTAAAACCTTCCTAGGAAAATCACATGGGACAAACCCCAGAAGAGGGAAGAGTACCACACATGTCATGGACTAATAAAAGAGCCCGATTCAGGTCACTTTGGACCATTGCAATAAAGAAACAAAGCAAAAGTGAAACCCAACACAGACGAGAACACAGCAACACATCCCGACTGTCCAAAGAATCCTACTATGAAACCATAGAACTTTGTACAACCACAGAATAGTGAAAGCACTTGACATAGAGCACTCCAAGAGAGACTCCAATAATGACAGAAGAGGAACCCCACGGAAGCATACCAGCTCAATCCAAAACCCACCAAAGAAAACCAGAAGTCTTCGATTAGCGCTACAAAGAGATAATATGCATAAGACAACTCAAAAGAAGAAACAAAACATAACGAACATGCCAAGAAAAGAAAAAACTGAAGAAAAAAAAACCCTCAAGAGGCACTCCGTGTCATCGCAACACGGCAAGGAAATCTCCTATGGAAATACCATAGTCCTTTAGGCAGGCGAAGAATCAAAAGGTATGCTGAGAGAGATAACAACATAGAAAAACGTCACGCCACAAGAAAACAAAACTGGCCTCAGCCACTTAACGTGAAACCAGATGTCAGGTATGAATGCATTCACCAGATGCCAAGCCCACTAATGCTCCATATAAACATTAAGGAAGGCTCTCAGGATACCCCACTAAACCAGTCTCCAAATGCTTATAAGAACATGCAGCATTGCAGGGACGCTTAGGATCCACGAAGTCTACCCTAAGAACCAAGACATCACTATCAACGGACGCCACAACTGTATCTTATGCTTAACTGTCATTTTAACAGAAGCACTGCGGGAAGCTGTTGAAACTAACTAGATTATCGAGAGGTTTTGTGAACACTGGGTATATTGCACTGAAAACTCAGAAGCATCCTTATTGAATTGAAAGACAATAACTGACTATTAAATAGCCTTACAATAACAGGAAAGTGAAATAACACCCCACGACTACATCAACCTAGAGTCGTGGTAATTTACTAACTCAAAACAAGATAACAAACTTGTCCCTCAAGTATAGGAGGGTTATTAGCACGTTCAGGGAATAAGCCCCTAAAACAAAGGAACCTTATCAACTAGGATCTTTGACAACTTCAACAAAATCGAGTTCAGGCTCATTATTTTTTGGACAGTGAGTAACTAACTAGTATTGAAAACTCATAAGAAAGAAAAACAATGAGCCTCCGAATACTGAGAAAGGCTTCGCAGACGCAAAACGCGAAGCAATTATCCTCCAGTTTCTCCAAATTCACACGATCATTCTCTCAGCTCTCCTCACAGTCCAAACCGTCCGTCAATCCCTCCTTTTCATTTTGTTTCTAATTTTTTTTTTAAAGGAGAAAAATTTGATGATGTTCGTGAATCGTGAGCACAAATTGGGTTTGATTATGATTAATTTGGCAGGCCTTCCTTTGGCATTGCGTTCGACATCGACGGCGTCGTTTTACGCAGCGAAGCTGCCATCGGAGGCTCTCCTCGGGTCTTCAGAAGATTATACGACGATTCTGGTACCCTCACTTCTTATACCCACCTCCCATTTTTATTTAGTTTATATTTTTTTAGGATTTTATTTGAAAATTTTTCAATTTGTGGGCAGGTAATCTTAGCATTCCGTACGTGTTCTTGACAAATGGTAAGTCTGTTGATTTGCATTTTTATGCTGGGTTTTTGCCACGTGTTATAATCAAAGTAAAATGGTTTTGTTTTGTTCTGTTTTTGTTTTTTTTTTGTCTGTTTCGAATAGGTGGTGGGTTTACTGAATCTAAAAGAGCCCTTGAGTTAAGTGAACTTTTGGGTGTCAAGATTTCACCTTTACAGGTATTTTTGTTAGAATGACCACAAATTTGATTATTTTATTCAAACTTCTATCATTACGTACTTGCAAATCTGTAATACTAAATACTATTTTTTGACTGCATGATGTTGCATGCAGGTTTTACAGGGCCATACACCTTTTAAGCAGTTAGTAAACAGGTATGCATGTAAGCTTGAGTTATGGGTCAGAAATGAAGTTTTGTTTAACAAGTTATAGAGGGCGTCTTAGTCTTGCATTGAGTATTGGCAGTGTTGGGGCATGCTTCATTTTTCTCTTCCAACATTGTATAAGCCTCTAGGATAAATGTGGGCATCAATAGTTGGGTACCTTAGTGAGAATTACACATGGTGAAAATGAACCTGAGTTCTGTATCTAAGCAGAAGCATTTCATTGTTACTTAATGGCAGCACTATGGAATTCCATAAAGGATGCCAATTTGTCACTTCACAACCATGATGTGGAGTGATAATCAAATTGTCACAACTTATTGTGTGAACAATCCTGATCTGTTCTGTTTGTTTGATTGATAAATTTCATCTTTGTCTCATTGTATTCTTCTATTCAAGATTTACAATTTTGACTACAGATTTGAGAATGAACTCATTGTTGCTGTGGGGAAAGGAGAACCTGCTGCAGTTATGTCTGAATATGGATTTAAGTATGTTTCTGGTTAGATTGTCTAGGCTAATTTGATTTTGGCATGTTGAATTTCTTCACAAATTTGAATAAAATGTCTGATCTGATCTGAGATTTTTGCTCTTGATTTTCTTTGGGGTTTTTTCCCCTCGTTTCAGAAATGTTCTTTCAATTGATGACTATGCGTCCTGCTTTGAAAACATTGACCCACTAGCACCGTATAAAAAATGGACAACTAAGCAGGTTAAGGAGGTTGCTGCCAGAGACCTTGTATCCTCACAAAGAGTTCAGGCGGCGTTTATAGTTAGTGATTCTGTTGATTGGAGCAGAGACATTCAGGTTATCTTGGACAAGTTTATTTGATCATAATGCTATAGGACCTCATGTATGTACATTCACATTACCAAGAGGATTTAGGATTAATCAATGCCTCATGTTTGTTAGCTAGACATATGAATTACTGAAATGCTATCAATGCTGTCTTTCAAATACTTTCGACAATTTCACCTTATTCCCACTTTCATGTTCTGTTAGAATTTCTCAAATCTATATGTTAGCCATTTTATAATCATTAAAGTATCAATTGATTAATGATGGATGTTTATACCAGGTTCTATGCGACATTTTAAGAACTGGTGGTCTTCCTGGTCGGGAAATAGGACACCAACCACATCTTTATTTTGCGCATGATGACCTTGCATACCAGGTTGATTCTCCTTCCCCTGTAATAAATTAATTGTTTTCTTGACTCCAATATCAATTCTTGGGTTTCTATGAACTAGTTTTGATAATATAAAATATGTATGATGTACTGACAAGGTTCTACTAAAGGTAGGCTGCTTTTCCTACTGAGCGTTTTGGAATGGGAGCTTTCAGAATTGCACTAGAATCCATCTTTAATAGGTAAGCGTAGAAATGTCCAAAAAGTGTATCACTGTACGTTTTCCTTCTAATCTTTCCATTAAAATGCTGAGATATGCTCTTCTAAACCCCTTTTGAATGGGTCGTAACTCAACTGACTACAATTCCACTCAGATGAATTTGTAGCTGATCTCTGAGTTCAAAAGACGGCTCACTAGTTGAAATGGGATGGAATACATGAATGCTGTTTGATGGTGCTGATCATAAATTTGGGTTTTGTCAAAGTTTTAACCCTTAGTTAAGTTATACGAAATATAGCTTTGTGTGATGATTATATTTCATATTACGTACCTTATGAAGGTTAAAGACTAAGAGGCCGATCAAGAGTTTAAGACCAACATGGGAAAAGATAATATGAAAAGATATGTGAAAATTAGAAAAGAATGGAAAATGTGAATTCATTTGGTTGACCTCATATGACTAGGACAAAGGCAAGGATGCTGATGATGATGATATCATGTGATGAGTTATGCATCATGCTAAAGCTGCTAGTTCAAATTAACATGCAGAATCCATCCTCGTGCTCTGGAGTATACAACTTTTGGGAAACCAAATCCATTTGTATTCAATAATGCAGAACTTGTACTTAAGCAACTTGTGTCAGCTCTTCATGATAATCTTCAAGTTGCCAATCAAGCAAATGCTGGAAGTTACCAATTCAAAACACTGTATATGATAGGAGATAATCCTTCGGTTGACATCTATGGTGCACGACAGGTTTGCGTCTCTTGGACTTGAATTTTGATTGCATAGTTTCTACATGAGTAAAATGAACACTATTTAACTTAAAATCAGAGAAGGAAATAATCAATCATATTTTTCATTTCAGGCGGGTCATCCTTGGTTTTCTATTCTGACAAGGACTGGGGTTTTCAAGGGAAAGGAAAATCATGCCGAATTTCCAGCGGATCTGGTAGTTTTTTAAAACTTTTCTGCCTGCATGAAAATGTAGTATCGTGTTTACTTTATAGTTCGTCCTCTCCTCTTTCTCAGGTGAGGGGTGGAACTTGAGTTTATAGGTAAAGATGTAATTGCAAATCTCATGCATTCAGATTTGTTAACAGATACCTGACTATGCTTGTGCAGGTTGTTGACACTGTGGAAGAAGCTGTAGACTTTGTTTTGAGAAAGGAATGCATCTCTTAGAGTTTTATTCTGTACACTTTCTTTTTGCGTTCCCCCCTCCCGTTTAGATTTTATTAATTTTTGAGAAATTTATTTGTGGTTTACAATATTTTTTGAGAACTCCATCTGAAAATATATTTTTAAATTTTATAAGGAGAATTTGGGGGAAGACAATTGAGGTGACATCTCAGATGAAACCTAGCTAGGCTCTCAATTTGGAGAAACACTTACATGAAACGAGGACAGCACTATTTTGCTATCCCCAGTCAATCATGGTATGCCACGCTTGATAACTTTTCCACGTGAGACTGTGATTAGCCAGGAATAGCAAAACAGTGATATACCCATTTCATACAAGTTTTTCTACTCAATTTGGGATCGATTCATGGTGTACTTACAATGTGTTATTTGGAGAGGAGACATGAAACCAAACAAGAGAAAACTGGCGCTTTCATTTTGCTTTTGCTATACTGACTCATTTGATACAAAGAATGCAACAGAATGCATTTCATAATACCTAAAGCAAATTATTGTAAGGTGGTTTAGTCTTGACCAATTGAACTCCCACCACTAAGCAGTAATTGTGATACAAAGGTTTTTTTTTTTTTTTTGGTCTGAATTGTGGTGACAAAGTTGGCTCATCTGTAAATGTGGATTTTCTCGTGGTAAAAGGACTCAAAAGACGTACGTAATAATTACATTATATAATAGGAGATCCAAAATGTGACTTCACATCCTAATGCAATACAATAAACCTCTGAAAGATTATTATGAGATTATCGCCAAAACAAAAGTCTTCACTTCAGCCATGCTCAAAGTTGAAAATTGATAACTTGTTTTGGTTGGCTCCCTTGCTTCCCAAGGGCCTTATCTATTGCAGCATTGAAATTGTCAAAAGGAACCAGCTCCATCCTACAAATAGGGAAGCCTCTGATGTTAAACATAGATCAGTTCAAATTAACAAAAGTGGAGTTAAAAAACAAAAAAGAAGAAGCCAAGTGTATAGTTAATGAAGGAGAACTTACTCATATTTTAACTTCCCTTCCCGTGCTAGGTCCAGGAGGGAATCTATCAAAACTCTACACTCTTTTGCCTTCTCTGAACTCATCCAATTCTGCAACCAGAATCCCCTCAAGGAAAGATCCTGCAAACATAGATATTTGAGACAAGATGACAGAACATAAAAACATCACAAACAGATAAAATTGCAGTGGAACTAATCAGAAATTTCTCTACTAACAGAAACTGGTAGGCAAAAAACTGTGTTGCTTTAAGACAAAAGAAATCCTAAATCCTATTTCTTCATCTCCACCACCAGATGAAGAGCTAACCTAATCTAGGTCTTAAAATGCCTAAAAGGATTTCTGAAACTATACAAACTTTGAATTTCTAATCAAATAGACCTCCTAGGTTTGTAAAAATAACAGTCAATACAACTCAGTTGGGATAATTGAAGACTAGAATCATATCATCCCATCAATGCATATAATGACACCTGGTCTACTCAATCTATAGTTGGAGCACGCAACCCTATAATGACCTCATCCTACTTTCTATTGGTATCACCCATATCTAACTGCTTCCTTTTCTTTGTAGTAATCAGATTTTCTTGAATGCTTTGTTATTGTTCCCTTTCCTATTTCATGGTTTCCCCATGTCTTAGCATTCCTTGTCATTTCCACATGTTTACTAACTTGCAGTTCTCGGAAAAAAAAATAAATAAATTGCAGTTTCTGAAGTGCAATATATTTTCTCCCCAAAAGTAATAACCACAAAAGTAGAATTTCACTAAGTGGCCGAAAAATAGAAAGATTTACCTTAAAAATGAAAGATGACGTTGATACAGTAATGGGTTTCTTAGACATTCCACCATATGTCACCATAGTTCCGCCCCGCCTGAAAAAAATGCAGTACATTTAGAAAAGGACATTAGATTTTGAAACCACTAGGAAAAGGGAACATTGTTTAAAGCATATAGTACTGAGAATCACACCCCAAAAATTTAAGAACCAAAGAAGCAGCATTGCCTCCAACGCAGTTAAATCCTAATGCAGGTTCAGGTATACCAGACTGGCATGTAAAGCAGATTAAATGCAGAAGATTAGTCAAACAACTCGGAAATAGAGGAAGAATCAAAGTGTAATTTATGATTTGATTAATAAGTCCACAACTAGAAGACCCTTGACAATATCAACTATAATGAGACAATAAAGATATACCAGAAGACCCTTGACATTCTTGACTTCCAGTTGACTCTCAGTAAAAACTTCATCAGCACCAAGGTTTTTGAGTTTCTCTTTTACTTCATCAGACCCAGTCCTGTAGACACCAAACCATGGTCAATTATAGAAAGACCCTTTTCAGGAAAGTTTATTTTCCTGGAAGCAGAAATCTAAGTAAATAACTGCATACTCTGCTTAATTGTATACTTCTTATAAGAATAGAAGACATACATCACAGCACACAAGCTGATTTCATATTATCACCTGTCCCTTATTATATTAATGTTATGGATGCCACGATGCTGCGCAAGCTGAATAATGCACTGCCCTACAATGCTTGTGGCTCCATTTTGAACAATAGCATCTCCTATTCAAACCAAATTGTAATCGGTGAGGAGACAAAAGAAAGATGCATAGAAATTTCAGATGGTGCTGTACCTTTGTTTAAAGTAACGAAGTCTTCAAGCATTCTTAGAGCAGTCAAAGGATTAACCGTAATAGTGGCGGCATATTCCAGGGGTGAATTCTTATTTATTTTGTACCATACACTCTGATCCTTCACAATATAAGTCTGCCATGTCCCTAAGAAAAGATTATATATAAAGCCTCATTAAGGTCGCAAAATGCATGCAAACTATGTTCTATAACCACAAATTTGAGAAGATATGAGAACAAATGAAGAATGTACCAAAAGAAGGCGGAGATGGGATGACTAAATCCCCGGGCAAGAGACCCTTAACTGCAGGCCCGACCGAATGTACCTCTCCTACACCTTCATATCCTCCAACAGCTGGCACTTGTGGCCTCACAGGGTATACCCCTTTCATGGTTCAATGCACACATCCTCAACTAGTAAGCAACAAATAGTAAATTCAATACAGATAATCTTCAAAATGTGATCTTAACAAGTTTGTCACTTTGTTTACTGATGTTAAACTTTCTTTCTTTCTTTATTCAATTTTTTTTGGAAAACCTAACCATCAAGCAACTACTCGGAGCACTAGTTCTAGTAAATTTAACTCCATTTTCTGAGCAACCAAACGGGTAGTAATGGAACTATAAACCAATGAGGCAATACCCAAAAAGAAAAAGGAAAAGAAAAAGATAAAAAAAAAAACCTTCAATTCGATTAATATCAGAAGGGTTGATTGGAGCAGCCAACATTTTCACGCACACATCGTTCTCTTTCACTTCAACTGGCGGCAACTGTATCACTCTTCCAACAGCAAAAACCACTAATTAAAAACTTCAAATTCGAAAAATAAAAATAAAAAAGGTGAATTTGTAAGACAAAGTTAGAGAGTGACCTGGTGACCCTATCGGGAGGACCGTGTTGCTCGTACACCACAGCCTTCGACGGCGGCGACAAGGTCGTCGAGAACGCCCGGAGGCTTAGGGTTTGGGTTCGCGGGTGGTTAACGGCCTCGTTTAGCGTGAGATTGCCGAATGGTTTGAGAAATCTGAGAGTCGCTGATCGAACCAGAGACGCCATTTTCAATTTGAGCACCACTCTACTCCAATTCAGGAAGCTGCAACAAGCTTAAGGGGTTTTTCTGTCGTTTAAAACTCGAACCGGGTTGAAACGGCCCAAACCCGGCTAAAATATTCGAACCTTTAGTCCCACTCTTCAGAAAAACACAGACGTCTCGATTTGGGCCCGCTGGGCCAATCAAAGCTCGTTCCCCTCTCTCTCTCTCTCTCTCTCTCTCTCTCTCTCTCTCTCTCTCTCTCTCTCCCCACAAGGTATTTTCCTCTCTATTTAATATTATCACTGTCTTGCTTTGCCATTTACTTCTTTTACTTTATGTCTAGTTCAGTGGTCTACTAATTTAGTAAATTCATAAGCTTGGTTATAAGCCTCCAAATAGTTTGAGTTGGCCCTTTTTTTTGGGGTACAAGTTTGTCTAAACAACTAAGATGTTATAAGAATTCGAACCTGAGATTTCTGGTATGCAAGTCAATGTTTTTTTTTTTCTAAAACCTGAGACGATCTGTCCATTATTCAATCCTTTGCCCATCATGTTTTCTGTATTATCAAACAGTAATATATCTTCTGTATTTTTGTGATATTAGCACCATGTCTTTAACCCAATTGTGATATTACCTACTTTGTTATGTAAGGGCAAATGTAAACTCCTTTGCCTTTGTTGCTTCATAGACGGGTTTCATTGATGATTTTGAAGTCCAAAGGATCCATTTGGGAAAAATATATCTGAAATCAATGAAAGGTTACATAATTTTACGGTGTCTGCATTTTGCAAATGATTCTGTAGGAGTCTCATTGAAGTTAGAAAGTTATATACAGCAACATCTGTTTTCACTTTACTCTAACTTTGTTTTCTGAAGTTAGAAATAAGTTGTCACATGCTCTGTAGCTAGGTTTTATTCCAGTGCATAGGTGTGTTCATATATGGGCCTCATTCGATGGCCGGTTTGGATTGAATTGGAGTTGAGTTTAAGTCAGTCCTTACGAGTCTCACCCTTTTAGATCAACCAATATACCTCAAAACCATATTCAAGAATTAGAAATTTACACACTATACAGAAGACTTTCCCTGAAAGTTCATTGAAATAATTGCTTCTCAACACATAGATTCTTATTTCAATTTCCTCGTGGGTTGTGTTACTTTTTGTGTGTTTGAATCTTCCATCAAAGTTCCTGTGGTAGAAGAATCCACCAAAATCAGCGTAAAAGATTTTTTTTTTAAATGGGTCAAAAAAACAATCATTTATTTTTGCTTTGCCATTCAAATCATTGTAGAACTTTGCTATTATTCAACAGTCATTGTAGCTCTAAAGTCAAGCTGTCTTTCTTGGTCCATAATAAATATTTTCCCACCAATCAGATTAGGTACTTTCTTGAATGTTCTGTCGGTTTGGTCATGATTTCTAACTCTGTACTTGAAAATTTGATTGAATTTGCAAGCTGCAAAGCAATAATGAATAAAAAGCACTTTTGGAAATTGTAAACAGGAAGCAGAATGTGATAAATGTGTGGGTAACTGAATGGAGAAAATGACTTTTGGATCATGGTATTTATTGCTAGACGCTGAAGCAGTGTGCCAACATTTAACCTAAAACCTCCTATTTTCTAACATTGAATTAATTGATCTGAAATTCTGAAGCTAACCTTTTTTAGATTTGGTCAAAATGTAAAAACCGCTACGTATGCAGGCGCATGGTTATACGGAATTTTTATGTTTAAGATCATGTGATGAAAGAGATAAACGTAAACCACAAGGTGTAGTGTGGTTGGCAAACTATCACCTACAGCTGGAGAGCTACATGATACCTTAATGACTAGCCGAACCCCAAGCGAGAATTAATCCCACCATTCAAGTGTGGGAACATCTCATGATATTTACTCCAAAAAAAAAAAAAAAAAAAGAGAGATAAACGTACAATTTTATATAGTTAGTTGTAGGTAAAGAAAAAATGATGTGGAGAGGGATAAATTCATATTGTCGGTTTGATTGGTCTGGTTTACCAGTGGAGTGGAAGGCAACCACAACATGTACCCTTAGTTTGGTCGGTCTGGTTTGCCAGTGGAGTCGAAGGCAACCACAACATGCCCCCATTACTCAGCTCAAGACACATTGTCGCTCACCTAAACCTAAAATAATGAAATTGTAAGCAAGAAGAAAAAGTCACTACCATGCACCGCCACCAGCGCCTTCAACCATCATTGTCATTGCCTCGAGGACCCTGTCATTCTTTATCAATAATAATATTAAGAGAATAACTGATGTGGTAGTGGTTCATTTGTCTTCGTTTTTGAATTCAATCGGGATCGTATTATCACATTAATTGATTTCAAAATTAGTGCAATAAGTCGATGTCCCTAATATTATTGATAATATAATCATTCTTCTCCAAAGATTTGTTGAATTTCAAAGCTATTGTTATCTTAGTAATTAGCATGAATAGTATAATCACATTTAAATACATGATGGGAAATAATTAGTTTCAATCAATGTCTAATCTCTCAAGGGCCAGCTTTAACTTGTCTAATACTAACCACTAACCCAGTGTGATCTGGTAGATGTTGGCCTTCCATGTGTTACAATTTCTCATGGTGTGTGTCCACCGCCTGAAAAAGTGGAATTTTCTGAACCAGTCATAAAGTCATTATAATACTCTATGTTCTTTTGTGCACCGACCGTGATTGCTTCATGATCAGCCCTTCCAACACGTATTGAGCAATAGGATTGGCTGATTTAATCTTTTATGTAATTTTTTCAAATAGGTGGACCGTAGACTTTTTTAAATTTTTCTTCACTTCTTTTTAATTAATTAAAGAACATCGAAATTTTGTTTAAAATAAGTGTATTTTTCTGAATTTTTAACACTTAAAAGTGATTCTTGAAGAAGCACAGAAAAACACTTTTGCGATTCAACATCACTACAAATTTTTCTGTCAAACACTATAAAAATATTTTTGATTATTACAAAATGATTTCCCACATTTCAAAAGCAGTCCCAAACCAACTTTTACTTTGTTTTAGTACTTTCTCTAGGCTTACTGTCCTCCATTAATTTCTCCTATTTTCTTGAGGTACACTTTTATAGAGTGTATGCCTTAACCACTTGGTTTTACTTTTAACTAAAGTATGACACAAACTGAATAGATTATTCAAAATGATGGAAAAAAATTCTTGCATTGGGTCATGTGCAAATAGAATAATATTTCTTGCATATTTTGTGCAAATGATGCACACATTTTATATGTATAATTGATTTTGCAAAGTATAATATAGTTATAGAGTGTTTATTTTTAAAAATAATAAATAATATATGACTCATAAGATTACGGCAACTCACTTTCAGTGAGAGAAGTGAAGGTAGAGGGTCTCAAATTCGAATTCTCTTTTGTATAAATTTTTTTTAAAGAAAAATAATAATAACCATTTTCCTAGCCCTTTCGGTGCAATTGGCAAGAAAGTTCAGACCAATTAAATGGTATTTTATCTGATTCTTTTTATTAATTATATTTAAAAAATTGTGTTGAGAGTTTATTGCATATAGGGAGAAAACAAAAGAAAATAAATGACAACAGTACTTCTATTTATTTAGTTTCCTCTTCCCACGCGGAACCTTCTTTTGTGCTTTGGAGACGGCAACAAAAGTCAGAGCTGCAAAAGCATACAAAATTTGGTCTTTGGGTTTGACAATAAAAGCTCCAAATTCAATAAAATACGTTGGAAATTAAAATATACAATGAAAAATGAAGGATTATAACATATGTTGTTTGTTTAGTAAATAGTTTTTAGCAATAATGTTTTCATTTATAGATTGATAGCTATATGTTTTCAATGTAGTTATGGTAGGATCCAGATCCTAGATTGGGAATTTTTTTTGCTACGTTTTGATTGATTTTTATTCTCCGCCTAACACACATCCTTCAAACGTTCTGCCATTTGAAATACACCTATTAAAAGCTTAAAACAAGATAACAAAAATTCTCACATTCATTTTCCAAACCTTCAAACAAGCTAAGATAATTTTGACCATTCATTAACAATAATGACATATATTACAACAAAGAGTAGACATTGTCCCTTTTTTTTTACAAACGATAGGGAGATTGCATTCATAAATCACAAGTAGACGTTATTTTTTTAACACAATAAAAACTCTTTCAACAAGAAATGATCAGAATAGTTTACCGAAACAACTGTAGTCTCTAACGCATCAAATAATATTCACCTAAGCTAAACCCCAAATCCTAATGTGATCAAGTATACATAAGTTGGAATGGAACTTCAATTTGAAGAAACCTTAATGTGCAAACTGATCAAGTGGTTGTTTTTAAACAAAAACAAGAAACACGTGTATAAATTATTGTATATCAACAACAGAGGGGAAAAAGTCAAGTATTGCGTAGTGGGTAATTTCTCGTTTACCTAAACCATCCCACAACATTTAACAAGAAAAAGGATCTGAAAAAATATTTACCTCTTCTTCTGCTAATTATCCACCTAAATTCTGATAACAACTTGTCGGTTCAAGAGTCATACAGTAAATTAAATATAGTCAAATCCCATGTGCCGACTACGTGCCACGTGTTCGAATATTATTGGTTGAACGATTAAGTTTTTAATTTTTACTGTTCCGTTTCCCCTAGGAAATAACGCATCGTAGTTATGGCGGGCGAGCGCGTGGATCACCGTTCGAACTTTCCTTTTTACAGCAAAGCATTATTAAGGGGAAACGCGTAAAGGCAGAGGGCCCCTTTAATGCAATCGGGTGGGCCCCTCTTGGAAGATTTAAAGCATAACATTTTGTTTAATGGGAGATCTCCGGTTGTGGGGACTGCTGTGATGTTAAGCCGTCACCGGCGGGTAATGGAAACAAATCTCAGGAAAGAGAGATGTTTGGTTGCCCGAAGAAAAGGACAAAGATATGTTGCGGACCAGCTCGCAACTAAATCGCGTATGCCAATGGGTGAGCGCCACGTCATCAGATAATTTGGATGATCGGAACACGTAAAAGACAAAACAAAAATACCGTACCATAGATGCAAAGTTGACCAAACAGGCAAAATATGCCGGAGCGACGGGCTCGGCTCGGATGTTTCGTCAAAACACATGCAGCAGATTAAGGCCCCCGTAATTGTAGAGTTTTGAAATTAGCGAGCATTATCAAGATCCCTTTTAACTCGGTTAGACTCTGCTAGACTCCGTTAGCTTTACTAGATATGTAAGTCTCATAATGTACATATGGAATTTGGGAAAGTAATTTCCATATATGTTTTCTAAATTGTTGATTCCTGAATGAAGTGGAGTTTTAAAACGAAAGAAACTAAAGAAGTACAATAGTAACACTCTTAGCCTTAATTATATTCACCACTGTTAACTAAGATGAATTAGCTTACTAAACACTGAGGAGCACTAAGAATATTCTTGTAATGAATTTTTGCTTCTTTGAAATTACCATTAATTATTGTCAATGGGTCTAACTGCATTTGCTAAACATGTAATGTTATTCTCGATCATATATGACCGCTTCGTCGAAGATAATAAAATTTTAATTATGAAGAATAGAATAGGAAAATGGGAGTGAGTAATCTCGGCTATCAAAAAAAATTTAAATCGAAACATATTGATACAGATCATATCGATAAAATTATGATCATAGTATCAAAGTGGAGTAACGATATTTGTATAATATTATCGATTATATTTGTCACATATGTGATGATTAAATTTATGAGAAATCGTTTTAAAGGTAAGTTGACCGCGAATAAGGGATTTGGTTAGTAAATGTGTTAGGAAAGGGTAAGTGGTAATACGACCCTCTCTGACCCCAAAAAAAGAAAGAAAAAACACCCTCGTGTGTGCAACGTGGCTGCCTTTAATTGGTTGAAATTGAATTTAATTTTGCGGTTGATTTGCATTACAGAAGGGAACCCTCCCGTATATATTAGAGAAAAAAGTCACCAAGGAAGTACAAGAGTCTGTCACTTTGTGTCTGAGTTTTGCAACGCTCTCCTTTCTCATTCTGCTCAGCCCTGTTTTCTTGTTTGATTGGTTGGTTTCTATGCTTTTGGTGGCTCTGTTTTTGTGTGCAGTCGAGAGATAAAGGGGCGTGAGCAAACAAGAAAAGGAGAGAGAAAAGGAAAAGGAGTAAGATGAGCTGCTTTTGCTGCACTAAGAAATCAACCAAAGAATCAAAGAAGAAAAATACCAACATCAACGGCAACAAACCCAATCATCAAGGTAATTCTTTTCCAAAATTAATTTTTATTTAATTTTTGGGTCATTGAGATAAACTCATCGGGTAGATGATCATATCTGATTTTCATATTCAGATATTTTCTTGGGATGATTTTAATTTTTACATTGTGGGTTTTGTTTTTTTGGCTATTATTATTTCCCTTTTTGTTTAATTTTTATGGGTGGTACTCTTTTGCCTTACCTGGGTTTATGTTCTTCCCTCTCTGAATTATTTGGTCATCAATTTTTTTTATTTAAAATTTTGGGTTAAAGTTTCTGAATTTGGTTTTGTTTGGTCCTGCTTTGCACCTTGAATCGATTCAAAAGGTCGGTGCCCTCTTTGACTTCGCCATGAAACCACTGTCAATTTTTGAAATTTTGTAATGGATGGAGAAAGAAAGATGGCTAAATTTTTATGTAGTGAGAATGGGCTTTAATCACATTTATAAAATTTTCATACTTTTATTTTCATCTGGGTTTGTTAAATTGTTAATTTCTCATCTAGTGCCAATGTTATTTGTTTTGGTTCTTGTGACTGTTCATTAACACCGCGTCTCATTCATTTTGTTTGTTCGTTTGCGTGATTGGTTGGGAAGGTCCAATCCATAATCCAGAGTCTCATAGTGTTGAATTTTGTCATTTTGTATTTTTGTTTGCATTTAAATTTTAATGACTCCGGTTTTTTCAATCTCATTTTTGAGAAAATGAATCAATATGATTTTTTGGATTTTGGTTACCATGTGCCGAATTTTGTCTTTATGCTTGGCCTTCTCACTTACTGACTTGTCTGTGTGCATGTTTGTATTTGGTCATTTTGATATGTCAGAAGTGAATTCAAATGGGAATGTTAAAACGGAATTGGGTGTAAAAAAGGAGGAGGCCTCTAAGGATGACCAGTTATCGTTGGATGCAAAGGAGTGGAATATAAAGGAGGAGGTTTCTAAGGATGGAAAAACCAACGGCAAGCGAGCACAAACATTTACATTTGATGAACTTGCAGCAGCAACCGACGATTTCAGGTCTGATTGCTTTCTAGGTGAAGGAGGATTCGGAAAAGTTTACAAGGGTCACTTAGAGAAAGTTAACCAGGTTTGTGCAGCTGAGTTTAAGCTCTACCATTAAATCGAACCTCTTGTGATACCTATCAAACCCAAATTGACAAATAGTTTTTTTCTATTGAGTTATGAACTTGTACATTGAACCGAATGCTATTGGGATATCATGAGTGTCCTTTTTATACTCTTGTATCAAATGTGTTAATATATGAATTATAAGCTTGAGGGGTGACCCAATTTTGCTGTTGTTGGTGGTGTAGGTTGTTGCTATCAAGCAGCTCGATCGTAATGGGTGCCAAGGGATTAGAGAGTTTGTTGTCGAAGTATTGACGCTAAGTCTGGCTGACCACCCTAATCTCGTCAAATTGATTGGGTTTTGTGCCGAGGGAGATCAGAGGCTATTGGTTTATGAATATATGCCATTAGGATCCTTGGAAAACCATTTGCATGGTATGCAACTGACTAACTCCTAAAACCAATCCTTGTTGTATTATCGATTACCTTTTCACTTTCTGTGAAATATGCATCTTATTTTGAGGTGGCCATGAGTTATATTTGAATAGTACCTTTTTTTTTTCCTTTACAGATCTTTCACCCAGCAGGAAAGTGCTCGACTGGAATACAAGAATGAAGATAGCAGCTGGTGCGGCAAGGGGTTTAGAGTATCTGCATGAGAAAATGCAGCCCCCTGTTATATATCGTGATCTGAAATGCTCAAACATTTTGCTTGGTGAGGGGTATCATCCAAAGCTATCTGATTTTGGCTTGGCCAAAGTAGGTCCCAGTGGAGATAAGACTCATGTTTCTACTAGGGTTATGGGCACGTATGGGTATTGTGCACCTGATTATGCAATGACAGGTCAGCTGACTTTTAAGTCGGATGTTTATAGCTTTGGGGTTGTTCTTTTGGAGCTTATCACAGGAAGGAAAGCTATTGATAATACAAAACCTGTCAAAGAGCAGAACCTGGTAGCATGGGTAAGATAACTCTAGCACATTGCATTCTCTTCTCTGATATCTACTATTCCACTCCCTTCTATGGTACTGCATAGGTTGAATTAGTTTCGCAGTAGCTGCTGTCCTTTTGTAACATTGTGCGGCAAGCAATAATTATTGGAAATGCTGATTTTCTGGATTTTGCTTTTCTTTATCACTTTTCTTGGTAAAATTTAACTATGTCTGCTGCCCACTGGGATGGATGCGATTTAAATAAGTGCTACCAATTAGAATAGCAGTTTGTTGGAACTTATTTTCTTTAGAGATAAAGGGAAATAAATAGGGGCAGCAGTCAGTTGACACTTGAAAGAGACTATCCTTGGAAGTTAGAAGATTTTTTTTATTGCAGTTGATTTTTAGTCTCTATTGTCATCTGTAGTTATGTTTTGATATTTTGATATCCAAATTAGCTTGAATTGTTGAGCATTTTGAATTTTGATAATCTCCGTGTGCAAGAAACTAGCTAATGTAGTTGTCTGCCCTATTTAAAAGCACAAATGAACTTTTACTTTCACTTTAGCTGTTATATTGTTTTCAGGCAAGACCCCTGTTCAGATTGGGCTTATAAATCCCTGACCGTTATATTGTTTTCAGGCAAGACCGCTGTTTAGAGACCGGAAGAGATTTTCACAAATGGTGGATCCGTTGCTCCAAGGTCAGTATCCTGTCAGGGGACTATACCAAGCCCTTGCTATTGCTGCAATGTGCGTCCAGGAGCAGCCCAATATGCGGCCTGTCATAACAGATATAGTTACAGCGTTGAATTACCTTGCTTCCCAGAAATATGACCCCCAAATACATCCAGTTCAAAGCTCGAGAAGGGTTCATCTTCTCCTAGACGGAGGAGAGATGATGATATAAGGCAGATTGGAGGTAACGGACCAGAGAGAGACTGAGCTGGAGGACTAAATTAAGAATAAAGCAGCCAATACCATTTTGTGATTGTAGATGATGTGCCTAGTTATCAATTTTTGCATCATAGAAGATAACAGGTACTACTGCCATTCTTAATATTCACATACAGAGAGTTTCTGCTTTTTTTCTTCTTCTTCCTTTTCTTCCTCCAGTGTACATGAGAGCTGACGTTCTTGTATGTAAAAATGCTTCATTGTAGGAACTTTTTTCCATTTTATTAGTTAGCCTTATTAATTTCTATAATAGTTCCATTCTTTTGCCTACCGTGTCCACCCCCCCCTCTTTTTTTTTTCCCTAGGTGTTTGCGTTTGTTTCGTTTTGCTTTTCTCTAGCACAATAAGTGCATCATGATGGATGTTCTCATGGGTAAGCTATATGATAAAAAAAGAAGCGGACATATCTACTTCCTCCTGTCTCCATTACTTTTTTTTCCCTGGATGTTTGCGTCGTTTCGTTTTGCTTTTCTCAAGCACAATAACTGCATCATGACGGATGTTCCCATGGGTAAGCTTTATCATAAAAAAGTAGACATATCTACTTCCTCATGTCTCCATGCAGGTAATGTGGAATATCATTGTTGGATGCAATGTGAAAACTTGACGAGCCCGGCCTTCTCGTTGACTCGATGCAAAGAGGGAACTTGGAGGTTCTGGTGAATGATTTGTTAATGTGTAGCTGGGGGTTGAGAGGGTGGTAAGTTTTGATGTTGGTTTTTGCATGGTGATTGGAGAGCTGGTCTGCAATCCTCTTTTAGCCAGATGCTTACAAGCATCCCCAAAATGACACCACTGTAAAAACCTAGGCTGCCAAAGAGCTTTGAGTTTCTTTGGCATCGCAACATTTCCTGGCACTTGCACGTCTAGAGGCGCTGATAGAGCCATGAAATGTACTTTTTTTGTATGGGTCATTTCAGAGTGACTTACACTTCATATTAAAGTAATATGGAAAAAAGACGTAAACACTTCTCTTTTAACCTCATTTATTTTTTTGTTGGTGAATGCTATTTACTTTGACAATTGTGAGCCTCAAGTCCTTGGTTCCAAAGTTCCCACAAAATCAAGGCATCCATCCAAGAAGTTCATCCATTATTGCCAGTCCATTTCATCAAGACCCGCTCTGAAAAAGTTGGCATTTGTGACAGTCGTGCATGAACTCTTATTAATGACGCGTTTAATCATTAACGAGTCATTTTTCCTCATGAGGATGAATGACACGTGCAATCATACATCGTCGATAATGATGAGAAGTACCATTATACCCTTATCTAAGCCCATGTAAACGCGCATATCTCCACTCGTTTTCAACCCACATCTCCATCCGTGCAAAAAGGGTGTAATGGTCTCCGTGCAAAAAGGGAAGCATTTTTGCGTAATTGCTTTGGACCAACCATTTAACCATAAAATCTGGTCCAGTTAGCATAATCAAAAGGGCCATCATGTTTTATGCTTTCATCAATGCGACTTGTATGGTTAACAACTCTAGACTACAATGCTTTGAGTTGAACTTATAATATTTGCAAATATATAATTTTCAATGTCATTTTCTTGTCCCAAATGTTTACAAACTCTCAACCTTTTATCTTCTACGACGTAATCAAAATTAGAATCATCCTATACTCACAATAAAAGTTTGACTCTCGTTGCCTTCCTTTTACAAACTATAAACTTCATTTGAGTTAAAAGAAGTGACAAAACAAACGAAAAATAGTTGTAAGGGCGAGACTTTTAGAGGTCTAGAAACTATGATAGATAATGGATGGTTGGATTCTTTTTCCCCCTAATCTAGGCTACGGTGAGCTATTCAACTCATAGAACTATTCATCTGCTAAAGCTGTCTTGTTCAAACCACAATAAATAGGAGAAATCAAATATGCATTACTAATATATTAGTTTAAATAATATATTTTTTTTTTCTTTACCAAAGTTAGGAAGGAGGAGGGGTTTTCTCACATACTATTAATGTCTTTTTCAATTGGATTAGAACCTATTAATAATTAAATAAACTATATTAAAATATAGGAGATGGAGAGGGTTAATTGTAGGGGTTAGATGATTTAGATGGGGTTGAAAGGTTAGGTAGGTAGAGTAGGGTTTTAATTTTTATTTTTTTTTAATTTTTAATTTTTTTATAACCCAGGTCCTTAGAAGTTATTAAAAAATAAAAGCAATATGAAAATAATATTTTTGTTGAAATGGTGGGTGAGGAAAATATGATACGTGGGTGAAAATAACAGCAGTTTACTAAACGGGTAGGGCTGGTAATGGGTCGTGCCGTGTCGTGTCGTGTTGGGATTATATACGTGTCAAGAATACAGAACCTAAACCCGGCCTGTTTACTAAACGTGTCATTTATGGGTTGACTTGTTAATTTTCTGTGCGGATTTCGAGTTGTGTCGGTCAACCCGCTAAGTGATAATAAGTAAAAATAAATAAATAAAATTGCTAAATTTTGATAATTTAATCAAGTAATTGCATTTTTTTATTCTTATTTATATAAAATAGTGATTACATTTTGCATGTCTCTATGTATGAAGATTGAGAAAGAAAAATAAAAGTAATTTAAAAAATGAAAAAAATGAAGAAAAAATAAAGAAATGGGTTGGTGAGTTACATAGGTATTTTAGCGGATTGACCCAAATCCCACCAGTTTATAAATGGGTCAGTGGTGAGTTGACTCGAAAGTTTAATCGTGCGGATTTCAAATCGTGTACGGGGTTGTATTGGAAATTGCCACACCAACAAAGATTTGTTTATGGAATTGGGTGTCTAAAAATCAAATTAATGGGTGTCCATATATTAGTTCCTTACAATACAAGTCACCGACCGGTCTAACTCACATGCATTCCACTTGCAAAAATATTCCCGCCCAAAGTCGTTAAAAATCCGAACAAACAAACAACCCTAAAATCAAAACCCTCGTAAATTCACAATTCACAACCCCACAAATCCACCCAAAAAAGAAAAAATGCAGCAGAGACTTTGGTCTTACTCTTCTCGAGTGCCTGATCAAGAGCATGCTGTTGTGGCCATTCGCAGCGCAGCTCCACAGCAACCGCAGCTGAAGCACTACCACCACCACACTCCAAGAACAAACCCAGATGGCCTTCCGCACTACGATCCGCGTTCCGGCTTCGGAAAGAAGGAGGGTTCTTGGAGATCGGTGTCGGCGGAGAAGTGGATCCATGTCATTCCTGTGATTGTGCTCTTCTGCCTCTTTGTGCTCTGGTGGTTCTCTGTTTCAGGTATTACGAATTGGGACAGAGTTTGGATTTCTTGGGTTTATCTGTTTGATTTCTTTGATGGGTTTCTGTTTCTTGGTAATTGATGGTTTTGATTTCTTGTTCGTTCTGCTTGTGAAAAGAAATCACCATTTGGGAAAATGGGTGTTTCCTGTTTGGTCTGGAATTTGTTTCTTGGGAGTGAAGATTGAGTTGTTGCTTCGATTTTTTTGGAAACTGTTACATGTGACTCCTGTGTTTGACTCTCAGGTATTACAAACTGGGACAAAGTTTCAATCTCTTGTTTTTCTCTGCTTGATTTCTTTGATGGGTTTCTGTTCTTGCTTTGATTTCTTGTTCACTGAAAACAAATTGCTGTTGCGGAAAAATGGTATAACCTATGATTTCTTTGATTCTTTTGGAAATTGGTACTTCAGTTCTGTATAGAAATTTTACTGTTCGTTTATTTGAAAAGCAATTTGGACAAAGATTCAAGCCTTTGGTTTCATTCTTCTTCTTTCTTTCTCTAATGGGTTTCTGTTTCTTGATAATTGCTTGTTGGAATTTCGTCTTCATTCTGTTTGTGAAAATAGGCTGCTGTTTGGGGACATGAGTATTTTCTGTTTGCTCTGAAATTAGTTTCGTGGGAGGGAAAATTGAGTTATTCCTTTGGTTGTTTTGGAAATTGTACTATTGTATATGATTTGAAAGGGAAATAAAATAGCAATAAGCATTAGCATGGCTGCATAAGAGACTTACACAAGAGATAGATCTTAATCTGTTACTTAAATTTGTTTCTTTGTGTTGTCTTTGTTTGGAAACAGTAAAAGTGGTGAGCGTTGACGGCAGAATTACAGCTATACGTGAAACTGAGATACCACTCCCTCTCAACGAGACTCGAATTGATATTGCAATCTTGGCAGCTGCTGCTATGTCACCAATAGCCTCGGTTCCTCAGAATCTCACAGTGAACAAGGCAACTGAAGTTCCAAGTGCTGAGAAAAAATGACTGAAGGACAATTTTCTTTTGTCTATAATAAAATAGCTTTGAGGAATCTATTTCTGTCAATCTTGTATTAGGGACTGAGATAGAGTCCAATAGCCAACTTTGTAGGTGTAAAAAGTTTAGAACTGTGATTCATGGGGGAAACTATGAGACGTTTATACTTGGTTTTGCTTGACCTTGCGCCGACGAACCAGCAAGGAACTTCTTGTAGTTAGAATTTATAGAGATAACAATAGTGAATGGTTTGCTTGGATCAAATTTACATAGAATGTAAGAGCAATGAATTCCCAGATGTAGCTGGCTCATTTCACGATTGAAAATATTCAAATTTTCTTCTGTTGACTTTCTGCTGACACTAAAGCTAACAAGTGCCTTCTGCATTCTGTTTCCCTTTAAAAATTTCCATTGATCTTATTCCTATATCCCTCAAGAATCTGGGAAAGTGGGAAAAATAAACAGATACAAAAATAGATCAAGGAAATGTTTCTCTATTGCTGCTACAACTCACTAACCTCACCTACTCTGCAATAGTCAATCATTAGGTACATGGTCGTGTTCTTTTGTGACGGAAGAATTCTACAACAGTCTCTCCTTGGTGACTGCAAAAGAAATATTCTTTCAGTTAGTAATGGAATTATACAAATGTGGATTTTTTTTTAATGCTAAGCATCTTTAGTTAACAAATCCTGAAAAACAAACTTTCTTACATCGTGTGTCAAATAATGCCATACCTTTTGCCAACGAAGAGGATCTGGCTTTTTAAAGACTACAACAGTATCAATTGTTTCTGGTGAGGCCATTTTCCATCGGCAGTGAGGAACCGGGAATTTTTGACGAGTATAGTAAGCAATAATTTTCTTCCTACCTTCATCATACCGGGTTGAGTTTATATAGAAAATGAAGGCCTTCTGACATGGATGCTTGTAGACAGGCCTAGTGTTGAATGCATATGCTGTGTAATCAGCTCTTCTATACCAATTCAGAAAAGTCCTTGAGGGCGTCTCTA